CCCCAAACAGAGATCAATCACCCATAATTAACTTGTACTATATATAAAATCACCAGCTCAGCTTCTCTTTGTCCTCTAAGGATGCTAATCTTGCTCAATCCAGCCCAGAAATGTGATCCTGGCTTAGTCACTAGGAAAACAGTGATTGTCGGCTTTGGTTACAAGATAGAATAAACTTAGAATTTGAAAAAAAAATCCTTCTAGGAGCTGACCCATGATAATTAAATTCCTATCTTTGAGTATGGGGGCAGGTGTAAAGATATTTCAACTGTCTATGTAGCCTGCTGGGTAATTGCAGCTCTAGAATGTTCCAGAGGGTCCAAAAGAGAGGCTCAAAGAGCATTTGCTGGACCATATTACTGCTAATGGTATGTGCTTCCTGGTTTTGAAGAAGTATGAAGAACTCAGAATGTCTGTGTAACTGCAATTACGTCATGCAGTAAACTGACTTCATAAAAACCAAAGCGTTTAGATGGGGCATTGTGGTGTACACTTTTAGCCCCAGCAGGCAGAGTCGGGTGGTTCTCTGTGAGTTTGAAGCCAGCCGGGTTTACAGAATGAGTTCCAGGACAGCCTGGTCTACAGAGTGAAATGTTTCAAAACAACAAGCTTCTCTGCTTCCTCTACATGAACATTATACTCAGGGCATGTGGCACCTTGAGAACTGATGATGAGGATTTGTAGAATTATCTCTGCTCAGGCTGCAGAAAAGCCACATGCGGCACTAGAGAGAGCCACAGCAGAGATGGGTGCAGAGATGTGGCCCTGGACACTTACTGAGGAGTGCACACCACAACATAGTATGCAGCTTGGTCATTGAACTGCTGCTGCCACACAGGGCAGTTAAGAGAATCACAGCTGTGACAGCTACGGTCCTCTGTGTTCTATTTCACTCTCTTATTATTGGTTTTCCTTTTTTTCCCCTTTTGCTTCAATGTGCATATTTTTTAAAAATAGAGCTAAATAGATTTTACAGCGAGAGAAAATGGTCCATACTATCTTGGGAGTGATGATAATATGTAAAAATTCAGGTCTAATTATGTTGACTCAACTCTGTAAACACACTAAAAGGCAGGGAATCATGTGCTTTAAACTTACATCTCAATAACGCAACTCTTTAAAAAAGTATTACAAGGGTAGAAAAAAATAGCTGGAGGATTTCTACCCCGTTCAGAACACGGGGCCTGCATGTCTTTGCGTGTGCGGGTGGCACAGGATGCTGCCCTGGGACGTGAATGACTTGCTCAGATGGTACCGGTGGAGGTGCCCTGTGAAGGTTAGGTGGGCAGTCTACTGTCAGTGGAATGGAGAGGGCTGAGAGCAGCTCTGCAGAGGGGGCAGCAAAATGGAAGAAAGGCACCGTTCTATTGGGAAGGAAAGGCAGAAGCTGCTGTTCGGGGAGAGTCTCGCAGAGAACAAGACTTCCAGAGGCAGCTGAGATGGAACACTTGTTCCTGGCAGGGAACAGCAGAATGTGTGTGTGTGTGTGTGTGTGTGTGTGTGTGTGTGTGCGCGCGCGCGCGCGCTTTGTTGACACTCTCTAATCTTCCTTGCCACTCTCTCCCCAGGCTCCTAGAAAGTGTTTTCTGAGGGCTCTCCTCAACTAGCTTGATGTAGAATTCACTTATGGGTTTCAGGGGGATCCATCGTGGTAGGTATATTAAGCAGGTTCAGAAAAACAGGTGTGTTGCCTTTATGTGTGCAGGTGCTACGAGAATTCCTGGCATTTGCTAGAGGCCTGAGACTTCATGAATTGACCCAGGCTTGAAGTTCTGAGGCACTTTTTAGAAAATGGTTAAAATTATACAGGGAGCAAGGATAGGCACCCAACCCTATGGGATCTGCGGTCCTCAAGCTTCTCCTGCAGCATCTACACATCCATGTACGATGCTGACGCTACTGAGGACACAGGAATCAACACAACACTGTCTTTGGCATGGAAAGGCTTTGCACCCATGGGAATAGCATCAGAGAAATCCCCCAAAGCCTCAATCAACCAGGCCATCCGAGAGGTCCAACCAAGGCACTGGGCTCCCAAGAAGTTCAGGAAAGGAAACACAGCTGGACAGTCCATGGAAGGCCAAATGTCATGGAGAGACAGCTGTTTAGCACTCCTGAGGCTGGGCGGGGGAGGAGTCTCACTGGCAGAGAGAGCGGGGCTAGCAAGGCCTGTGGGGAGAAGTCTAAGGGATGCTCTGGAGAGGTGCCAAGCAGGAAGGTGCCTGGTGAACTGTGCAGGCCACAGCCAAGCCTCTGGTAGCGTTCCACAATTGGGCCAGTAACTACTACTCCTCTGCAGAGGGTGGTCCGCTGCTCCCGTGGGAGAGGGACAACCTATTTCCTGCTCTGGTTTCAACTCAACGAGCAGCAATATGTACACTCTATGACATAAAGCCACCGTTTGTGGCTTTAAGAACATTGCAGTCTAGGGCCAGTGGGGAGAAAGGCCAAGAGGAGATCAGGTAGAGACTTAAAACCACAGTACACGGCATGCCCGGGGAAAGGATACAACCCGTCAAGCGCTCTGCAGGAGCTCCATCAAGCCTGAAGGCTTCATAGAGACAGGCCACAGGCCCTCTTCATCTCTGCATGGGCGAAGTTTAGTCTGATGGCCGGCATGCATGTTCAGTAGTCGAATGAATGCACGCACACATGATGAATGAATGAACACATCTCCCCTGTGTTACCTGCCCAGGATATCAGTGACAACTTCCCACAGCACTGCGCAGCTTTGGCTTCCTATTGTTATTCCCCGCTCCCACCTCTGTTTTGCTCACCTCAATCCTTCCTCCCTGACAACTCCAGCCCACACTCCTCCCAGACTCTGATTCAGTCTGTGCTGCATAATTCAGATGCCCTGTCTTCCTCGCAGCTGCTTCCTGGGCATGTAGCTGATCATATGCCCCACAACACTGAGAATGTATTGCCTGTGGGTGCTGTTAGCGGCCTGTGGATGTCACAGAGTGTCAGGCACAGGGCTGGTGCTGTGTACTCAGTCGCAGAGAGTCTGGTAGGGGAAAGCCGAGGGCCAGACCAGTTGCTCCGGGAGAAAGCCTTTGACACAGAGATTCTGAACCCTCTGAGGAAGAAGAGCGTTTTTACTGCAGTATGGGGATGGATGTGAAATTAAGCACCTGACTGGATTGTCTCCATGGGCCAAAAACCCTCCTCCAGAGAGGCAGCACCTCCAGGAAGCTAGGCGTCAGGATGAGACAGTCTTCCTCCAAGTAGTGACAGGGGCAGAGTCCATCCTCAGTGTCATTAGAATGACAGAGAAGAAGGGATGCTTTTGGGGGCAGTGTGTGAGAGGAACTGTTGCCTTCCTCTTTTGCTTCAAGATCTGCTGGTCTGGGAAGAAGAGCTGACTGCATGTAGACCCATGCCCCCGTTGGGAAATAAGGCAGATTCTCACTATATCAAGTCAGTTTCTCTAAGACTTGTGCATCCCACGGTCAGATAACCACCCCAAACCTTTGCAACCCTATCCAGTAAAAGGCTGACAGGGTGCCTTCTGCGCCAGCCTGGGTACTCCTTGCAGTGATTAATGCTTCCAGCAGTGATTAGGGCTGCTTTCCCTCACCAGGTTGTCTGGGGTTGGGTGTCAAGTCCAACAGTTTCTCTGGCTCTCCTGACTGAAAGTGCTCAGCACACACACACACACACACACACACACACACACACGAATAACAACTAGTCTCACACGGTAATGTATTTGCTCCACACATTTCCCACTCAAGCCTCGCTGCGGTCTTGCGAAGCAGGTACGGTGATTAACTGCCATTTTCCACGGAACCTCTGGCTCAGAGATATTAAACGGCATACCAGATAGCATACTGGCGGGGAGAAAAAAAGGCAGATCCATTTCTTCCCTTCTTGAAAGAAATGCCTTACTCTCCATCCTCCCCCATACAAATCGTATCCCACGAAGAACACACACCATAGTATTTCAGAGTCAGGCAGACTATGTGTAAGTTGAGTATATGGTGACTAAATGTATGCATTATATAGAGGATGCTGTGTATGGACTCAGTGGAAAGGACACATGTTAAGTGAAGAGTGAGGAGCATCTCATTCACTCACCCGGAGTCTAGTGGGTGGGTGCAGGGCTCTGGAAACCGAGACGCGTCTGATTTGCCCTCTTATGGCTTACAGTCCACCGTAAAGGACAAACCTAAAACAACTGCCATTACAATACAATAACCAGGATTTTGTGAAGTGCTACTGAAAAGGTATAGCGGGGAGCTCTACTCTAGTCCGAAGTTGGAGCGACTCCTAGGGTGGGAAGTCTGGCTTCTTTGGGCCAGGGAAGGACACTTTTAGGCGGAATCTCCAAGGAGACGTCAAGACAGAGCGCGCAATAAAGAAGAAAATTATTTCTTCCGAATAGAACTTCACCTAGATGACTGCAGGAAAGAAAAAGTGGAGGTAAGAGAAAAGCCAGAAGCTAGTTTATGTAAACGGGCTTGGGAATACCCGCAGACGGTGCCTACGGAGTTGAACGCGGTGGGAGTAAAGGGGTTAAAGAGGGCGGTCCGGATTGGCCCGGTAGCCCCGCCCACCCGCAACGAAGGCGGGGCTACGCCGAGGGCGCGCTGGGATTGGCTGTGGGGGAGGGCGTTCCACTAGGACCGGACCAACAACCAAGCGGCGCGGAGGCGGGGGTGGGTGTGGAGCGGCCGGCTCAGCGGTGAGCGGCGCCCGGGGAATGGCCGGGCCGGCGGTGGGCGGGAGCCGCAGCGGCGGCGGCGGAGGCTGGGGGCGGTGAGCGCGGCGTGGGGCTGCCCCTCCCCGGAGGCGGCGGGGGCAGCCGGGGCCCGCGCCGCACCGCACCGCACCGCGCGGGCGGCTATGGAGCGAGCCTGAGGCCCGTCAGGTGAGCGGCGGGAGAGGGCGCGCGACCCCCGCCCGGGAGCGGCCGGAGGGAGGGCGGGAAAGCGCGGGCGGCGGGGGGCGGGGCAGCTCCCCCTGGGGCCGGATGCGGGGCTCCCGGCTTCCCCGCGAGGCTGCGGGCGGCTCGGCCGGTGAGGCCGGCCCTGCCGAGGCGCCGACGGTCGGGAGTCCTTGCGGTGACCGGTGCTCGCTGCCGAGCGCTGTCCCCAGAGGCTCCCGGCCCTGGCGTCGCCCTCCTACCACGCAGAGCTGGTGTCGGCGGCCCAGGGAGGAGCGCGCTCTCGCTGGGTCCCTACCGGGCCCTTATGGTTGCCGAGGAGCGCGCTCTCGCTGAGCCCCTGTCGGGCTCGCACGGTGACCGCCGGGGAGCGCGAGTGACCTGCAGGCCCCTGGGCCGGAGAGGGCAGCCGTGCCCTGGGGTCGCGCGCTCGGAGCGCCGTGGGCACAACTTGAGATGAGACTGTAGTCCAGAGTGGGCTGCGCTGGCGGCGGTTTCATTTCCGGGTGTGACGGCCCGGCGTTTAAGAGCGGACTCAGACGTAGCCTCACTGTTGGACGTGAACGTTGTCAAGCTGTGTCCTTGATTGTGGAGTCTGATAAGACATTATTTTTAATCAGGCGCCCGTTCTCTGTCACGCTCCCGATAAAAAGGAGAAAAGGGGGAGCAAGGCGAGGATGGTCCTCATACAATTACTTCGTTTAAAGACTCTATCTCCAGTAGGATGGGTAAGGAGTTACAATTTGGGAAAAATGTTTAACATTGTCACTTGGGTCTAGAGCCAGGTGTCAGGGTCATTTACTCAGCCAGTTTCCCCCTGGATGTTTGGTGGCTCACGCTGGAAGGAAAAAAAAAAGAATGCGATCTTTTCATTGAGGTGTAGACTTTGATAGAATCAGTAATCCGGTAGAGTCAAGATTGTCATTTATTAACCATGCTTATATTTCTGGGGTTGTAAATTCATGCATGAATTTCACTGGGCTGGTGATTCCAGTGTGCTTCTCATTCCTTGGATTTGTGCAAGACCTTTGAGCTAAACTGAGAGCACTCCGCCTGTCATTTACCGTCCTGAGAAACAGATTCAGGAATTAAAGATGCTAAATTATTTGCGTAGGCTCTGAATTTAAAATTATTGTATTAACTTAATAACTTTTTTCTCGAGACAAGGGTTTCTCTTTAGCTTTGGAGCCTGTCCTTGAGCTAGCTCTCGTGGACCAGGCTGGCCTCCCTCTGCCTCCCGAGAGCTGGGATTAAAGGCTTGCACCACCACCACCACCCGGCTTAATAACTTTCTTAAAGTTTGTGAAGGTGTTGGGCTTTGTGTCCCAGAACCAGCAGTTACCCATCAACAAGATGCCCTTTCCACATTTGAAGTGCTTATCTAGGTGAACAATGTGGGACTGGCTTGGCGCGTTCCTTTAATCCCAGCCTTCGGGAGACAGAGACAGGCGAATCATTCTGAGTTCGAGGCCAGCCTGAGCTACAGAGTGAGTTCCAGGACAGCCAGGACTGCTGCACAGAGAAACCATGTCTTAAAAAAAAAGAAAAAAATTTCTGGGATTAATAACTTTCCTTTGTGACAGTGGGGTTGATTTGTTTCCTTAGAGATAGTGAGAAATAGGCACACTTTGTTTAAATATATGCATATATATATACACACACACACATATATATACATACACACACACATATATATACACACACACACACACATATATATATATACACACACACAAAAGTATACTTTGGAAAAAGCAAGTCATTGGCTTTTATTTTTCATAATCTTATGTCATGATTATTTGCTTTTAGTCACGTCTCTTGATTTCCATTTCAGCTTTTTCATAGAGCTTTAAAGCATCTGTTGTTTTTAAAAATCTTTTCTGAATTTTTAATCCCTAAATGAAATTTTCTGTTTGCTTTTAGGACATGAATTAGCTCCCTATGACTACCATTCAGTGCTATTAGTGTAAAGTCAGAAAGTTCAGCCTTCAAATTGATAATCATTTACATTTTAACACTTGGTGAGTGCTAGGGTCACATAGTAGAGACTGTACTCAGTTACAGTGGAAAGATACACTGATGGAAGGTCCGTCTGTGATTGACTTTGTAGATTGGGGTAGGGAGCACAGTTACCCTCCGACCCTGCAGTTGTAATGATAGGGTGTATAGTAGGTGTACATCAATTATTTGTTGGTTGAATTGATAAATGGGATTTAATGTGAGGAAAGCATAGATACTCTGGTGCTAAAACTGGATTTTTAGCCCCCCCTTCAATAAAAAAAAGTCACTGCTGTGTGTTTCAGAGTTCTGTTGGAAATGCTCTATTAAAGTGGGTGTCTGCAAAGGTAACTGTGTGTTGGTGCTGTATTGAGAGTCAATCCTGTGTTTATATGGCGTTCTAGCCATCTGCAGCCTGTCGATGCTCTGGTCATGAGGAGCTGCACACACTCTCCTGCTGCCTTCACTGGCTGAACAGTTCAGTGGATGGATGGATGGTTAGCCAGTGTTTTATCTTAATAGAACGTGGAATTCTTGGTATAACCATACCAGCAGCATAGGTGCTGACCGTCCTCATGGCCCTTATATTGGAGATGGAAAAGGAAGGGTCTTTCTCTCTTAAGAACTCTCCAGGATTTGCACATCTCTCCCCCTTTCCCTCTTGGGGGTCTGTGTGACTAATGAGCTCAATAACGTGGGCCTGAGGTGTGGAACAGAAGTCCCTACTTTGCTGCTGAAATTCCTTTCTGACTAACTGATACTGTCAACATGACAGCGAGAGCTGCCTAGAAGAGAGTATAATGCAGAGATCCTCTGCTGCGTGGGTTTCATTACAGAAATTAATAAACTACTCTCGAAATAATAAAGAAGGCCTTCTGATGCAATTTTTGTTCTTGCCAAAAACAGAAGAAATGCTGTTTTTAGACCTAGAGAGTCTTGGGGATGCAGAGCGGAGGGGCAGATGTGGTGCAGAACGAGCCAGTGTGCTTTGGTATGTTTGAGGTTGGTATCTTGTGGGAAAGTACTGGCCACGGTAGAGAAGACTGTTATAAAAGGAGGCTAAGGGACATGAAATTATGGCTGCATAAGAAGGAAAGAGCCAAGTGCAGAATAGTGAAGTCTATTAGTCCGTGTTCTCAGGTGTTGACTTTCTCTGCGTACCTTTGCCTCATTTATCTAGTGTTGGGTAATAATGTATTAAATGCTAATTCTTATTTTAGGTATACTTCTGTGAGAAAAGTCTTACAATACGTTATATCCTTTGTTTCTTTTTAAGCAGTGTGGTCTAATCCCTCTTGCCTCAAGTTGAGGATTATTAGCATCCATTACTGACTGTAATTGAACAAGGATTTGAGATGATTGTGAAATGTACGCTGCTGATGCTGTTTACCCTTGCGTTTACTTCCTGGATCTGCCTTGAAAAGTCTGCCTGTCTTCTTTCACGGGTAGGAAGCTGTATAGCTTCTGGCCTTCTGTGGAGCAGTACCTAGGTCCTCTGCTTCCTAAGATCACATTTAAGATAGTTAAGTAATAAACCTATTAAGTTCTGTAGACTCTTTGAGCAATAGTGGCTGAACTTTGTAACCACTGTGTGCTTGCCCAAAGACCTTCTTAATTCATCTCTTGTTCTTTTCCCCTGACTTGCATCCTGTATATATGCATTTTATGTTGTGTGTTCTTCCTGGAGACAAAATAGGAGTGGGGAGAAGATTCGGTGGATAAAGTTCTTGCTGTGCGAACACGAGAACTTGAGTTTAGATCCTCAGCTGAGGATCTGAATAAAAATTGAGAGCTCATGGCAGCTTTTTATCCCAGCACTCTAGAGGCTGAGACAGGATCCCCTGGGTAAACTGACTAATTAGACTAGCTCAATCAGTGAGCTCTAGGTTCAGTGACGAACTCTGCCTCAGTAAATAAAGTGTAGAAGGATTGAGGATGGCACCCAGTGTAAACCTCTGGCCTTCACATGTGTAAACACACATATACATATGAATACTACTCACACATGCACAAAAAGAAAGTAACATGGAAGTCCTAATGTTGGATCTTTTTTTTCTTCTTCTTTTTTCTTTTTAAAACCATTTCACAGGGGCTGGTGGTGTACACCTTAAATCCCAGCACTCTGGGAAGCAGAGGCAGGCAGATCTCTGAGTTCAAGGCCAGCCTGGTCTACAGAGTGAGTTCCAAGATAGCCAGAGCTGTTATACAGAGAAACCCTGTCTCCCCTGTCTCATAAAAGCAAACAAAAGAAAAGAAAACCATTGTTGGTAATACTTGAAGATCTGATTTCAGCCTTGTCTTCTATATCATTCATATATCACTCCTGGGGAATATCTTCTTGGACTTTGTCCATTCTTTCTGCTAAAATCTCTATATTGTTTTTATTCCCAGTTCCAACCAGCATCAGGAACCGGGTTAGCAATAACAGTAGTCTAGAACGGCCTAACACAGCCTTAAACGGTGGTTATGTACTGATGATTGAGTAGGGAAACACCTAGAGCATAGGTAGCCTCATTATGCCTTGTACCTTTAAAGCACTTTCCACTGAGTGTCTGGATCACTGCACACTGCCTGTCTCTTCTGTACACTAGATCAAGGCTTGATAAAGATAAAATTGTCTGTCTCTCTCTCTGTCTGTCTGTTTTCCTCCTTCCTTCCTTCCTTTCTTTTTTTAAGGAAGAAAATTTTCCTGATTTAAGGTTTAAATGGGATGGGTTGCAAGTTTTTCTTAATTTATTTTTTAAGAGAGTGTGGTGTTTTTTTTTTTTTGTTGTTGTTGTTGTTGTTGCCCTTTTCATTTTAGAGTCACTCCTGGGCCAGGTTCCTCAATGCTTCCTGAAAGCCTGGTTGGTCATTTTTTAATTGATGTCCTTCACAAGGAACTGTTAAAAGACTTTACATGGAAGAGTCTTATTTTTCAGATATTGTATGGATGTTTAAATGGAAATGAAAATATTAAGGAAGATCTAACAGTCCAATTTGGACTGGGAATTAGATATTTTTAATATCTATGCTCTAAGTTGCTCTCAACACTTAAGTTTTAAGATCTTTAAGCTTTAAACAGTTTTAAGGATAAAGTCATTATTAAGCATAGAGCAAGTTTTCTGAATGAAAGACTAATGAAAGGCATGCTGTATTTCTGATTTTTGTGTGAAATAGAATTTAGGTCATGCTTCTCGCCTGTTTTAGTTACATTGATCATGGTGGAATTATATTTGTTCTAAGGGACAAAGGATGTAAACTCAAAACGGCTAATACAATGTGACTCTGCTGTAAAGTCAACGCCAGTTAAAAAAATCAAAGGGTCGGGCTGGAGAGATGGCTCAGTGGTTAAGAGCACTAACTGCGCTTCCAGAGGACCCAGGTTCAATTCCCAGCACCCACATGACAGCTAACAACTGGCTGAAATACAAAGGTCAGGCATTACAGGCTGAGTATGTGTAGTATGGGTGATAGCAACCTCGCACTGCATGATTATAAGTAAGGCTGTAAAGTATGGAAGTAGATTTTAGTAAGTGCTTCATATTAGGGTTGGATATGCAATGCCTCTCCCAAAATTGTGTATTGGAGCTTGGCCCCAGTGCACCGTTCAGAGATGAGGCTCTTGGGAATTCACTGGATTATAAGAGTGCTAATTCTTCAAAGTCTACTGATGAGTGACTGTTAGCTGGAAGTAGAGCAGTGGGGGTGCCTGTAAAGAGTGTGTCTCATCACTAGACCTTTGCTCCTT